GGGGTCGCATCAGGGGAGGTGCTCGGTCGCTGGTGAGCTTGGGCAGTTGGGCAGCTCGGGGGCTGTTCGCTGTTAGGGGCTCTGTGAACAGCATTCGTGTTTCCCCTGTTTGAAGAGGATGCGGTGGTGGGGTCGTCGGCAGCTCTCTTTTAACTTAACTGTTGCGCTTTCCCGTCGCTGGGGTGACATAAGTGGTTGTGCTGTGTCGGGAGCAGCTCTGTGAGGCCGGCAGGACACGGGGGAAACTGCCGCGAATGCCAAGAACAGGAAGCTGTGTCCGGTTGCTGCCTGTGTGGCAGCTGCACTCTGGACCTCTGCCCTCGGGTTCCTCCTCTGGGGGTGGTCGGTGCTGCTCGAGCCCCCAGCAGAGGGTTTCTGCCCGCAGGCACCCCGTCCATCAACAGGCCCTCACAAGCTGAGGGAGTGCCTTCCCCTCATCATCTTCCTGCGCAACCGGCTGAAGTATGCCCTGACAGGGGACGAGGTGAAGAAGATCTGCATGCAGAGGTTCATCAAGATCGATGGCAAAGTCCGCACGGACATCACTTACCCTGCAGGCTTCATGGGTGAGCGGGGCTGGGGCAGGACCTGGGGCAGCTCTGCACTGGTGGGGGGAATGTTTTAGTGGGCTGGCATGATTTGCAGGGGAAAGGTATTTCCCCGGTGGAGCTGAAGAAAAAATATGTATAAGCAGTTGTTATTTAGTTTGGAGTTGTGCACTGCAATGACTGCCAAAGCCAGATACCTGTAGGCTGTAACTGCATGCATGAACTGTGTAAATTGCTGTTCAGATCCCACCATTGGGCAGTTTTTGCTAATTTGCAGCCTTATCACAGCAAAGGATGTGAGCCTGTGGTCAGGGGGAGATCCCAACCTTGTCATTCACATCCGAAGCGTTTTTCAGCAGTCCCTGGCTCTTTTTAAACGTGAGTTAAAAGTCTTGGGTGATGAGCTGATTTATTTCCCTCTCTGCCATCAGATGTCATCAGCATCGAGAAGACAGGCGAGCATTTCCGCCTGGTGTATGACACCAAGGGCCGGTTTGCTGTTCACCGCATCACAGCTGAGGAGGCCAAGGTGAGGGGCTTGGTGTGAGCGTGGGCCCAGTTGGGTTTGGTTGGGGCAGGGCTTCCTCTTTGGCGTCTCCTGAATGAGAGCTGTTGTCTCTCTTCCCTGACAGCTGAGGCCATGCTGCACTTGAGAAGATTGGGGCCTTCAGGGTTGGGGTGAAGCTGCTGGTGGGAGGAGGTCTCTTGGTGACACAAGAGCAGCTCCCAGATGGCTGCAGGTGCATTGTCTGGTGCTGGAGATGATGCTGCTGGCATGGACCAGGTCACCTGCACAGGGAGCTTTGGGGTGGGAGTAAGCCTTGGCTTTGCCAGCTAACAGTGATCAGAAACGTGAAACTGCCTGTGGTGTAAAAGCCTTGAAATCTTTCTTGGGTCAGTTATGGAAGTCTTAATAAAACTGCCTTCTCACCCTGGGTGCTGGGGAGCAACTCCTGCATGTGTTTCCTCAACCCAGGCATGTTGTTGTGCCTGAGCTGTGAGTCTGCTCTGCTTCCTTGGGGCAGGTCATGCAGGCACACGACAATGTGGAGGGCAGAGCTGGTTGTGCTAGAGCTGCCTGTGGTGTGGTGTGGGACTTCTGCACCCCCCGTGATGTGCTTTTGCCTGTGACTGCCACTCTGTGTTGGCCCATGAGTGAGTGGCTGTGAGGGAGTTGGGGATGACAGGCAGCAGGGAAATCAGAGTGCCCTGGAGGAGAGAATACAGAGCTCTCTTGGGCGCTGGAGAAACGCAGGCTCTGCTGTGTGCCCACAGGCTTCAGGGTAAAATGAGGGATCTGCCCTGGCGAAGGCTTTCCCTGGGAAAGTGCAGCCAGTGTTTGTGCAGAGGCTGAAGCCCAAAGTGGGCAGCTGCTTCCACAGCAGAGGTGTTTTTTGGTGGAGCTGTAGCAAAGCTGCAGTGGCAACTGTTGGAGAGGCATTACTTGGGCAGGGAGCTGGGCAAGTCGCTGCCTGGACTCGTGTTGTGAGCCGTGCAGTGTCTGGGTGTCCTGTGGCTGGTGGCTCTCTGGGGGACAAGAGTCCCCTGGTCCATGGGCTGCTGAGCTGCCTCAGCTGAGCAGTGCTGGGTTTTGTTTGCAGTACAAGCTGTGCAAGGTGAGGAAGATCTTCGTGGGCACCAAAGGAATCCCTCACCTGGTCACCCACGATGCCCGCACTATCCGCTATCCTGACCCCCTCATCAAGGTGAATGACACGGTCCAGATTGACCTGGAGACGGGCAAGATCACAGACTTCATCAAGTTTGACACAGGTAGGTCTTGCATCCCATGTGAAGCGCTGTACCCATCCCCAGTATGGAGAGCAGTGTGGAGGTTAACACATGCCAGGCATATCTGCTCTGAAGTACAGAGGCAATGGTGTCAGCTTTGGGAAAGGGGTTGTTTCCCAAGGGCATCTCCACCTGGAGCTGGAGCAGGGATTCCTCCTGTGTGCTGGCAGTGGGAGGCATTGGTGTAGGGAC